ACCAGTTCTGCCATGTCATCTACACAGCAGTCAGCAAATCGTGAAATTCCAAACAAAAATGAACTGAAAACAGAACAGAACAGATTTCAAATGTATTGCATTCCATTTGACATCATTTTCCTGAGGCAAGCTTGACCACCTGCCGATATCAAAGTCTATTTCCAGACAACATTTCTAGCCAACAAATTATGAATGGATTATTGCACATATGAATAGTCCAATTAGAGAACAGTTTACAAAATCTACATCCGTGTTGCGAAAACGAGGTTGTTGCTATGGCCATAGCCTTCGCCTGTTGAATTTGAGCTGAAATTATTCCAAACATTAAGCTGAGGCATATATTTTCGAAATGATTAAAAGATTCCAATCAAATCGCCCAAGTACGATTATATCTTTTGGCATGTGATTGTTTGTTAAATCAAACGACTGAACGCTTTTCGCAATGATTGAGATGCCGTGCTATTCGCAGTGTTACTTGACACTGTCAAAGATGTATGTGCGTCGTTGATATTTGGTAGTTTTACTAGTCCGTTTGCCTTTGTTATCATAAGAGCGATATGTGGCAGCAATAAGCATATTTACTGAGGTAATCTGTGATTTTGTTTATCTTTATCTAATGTGACCGACCAAGTCGTCTGCTGTGGTAATCATCCGTGTATGCCCATTCGGAATTAGAACAGCGATTTGCTTGGATATCGCGTTTTCATCACAATTGACACAACTCTTCTAAACGGGGTGGCGCCCCGATCGAGGCAAGACAAGTAGGCTTGAAATGGCAAACTAGTCTTTGATATGGGCTAGTGGACACTCTTGCCTCTGGAAGATGATTTCACATCGTCTTACCAAAATTGAGACAGGTTGCTGCAATAGCCGGTCTCCGAAATCAACATTATTCATGATCAGTTCTTTGTGTCTATATCAGTTTAGTGAAAATAACGATTGCTCATTTTCCTCAGAATGTGGTGACAATGTGTGTGAGATTTGTGTGATTTCCTGTAACGAAGAAAGTTCAGAAGTCGATTTATGTACCCGACCAATCGCTTCCTGTCCTGTGGCCTTGACCATGAGCCATGTGTAAATACCGCTCTGGGCTCCCTCAGCATGCACAGCTACAACAATTTGTTGGTTCGTGCATTCACATGCTACCATCTGTTGAGATTGAACTCAGCGGAATGGCTTTCCCAATAGTTATCAGTTAACGTTTTACTGCCATGTATAGCACTATTTGCCTGTTGGGGAGAAATACCCGTGTTCGAATCCTTGTAACAAGGTGCTCTTCACTTTGCAGAAAGAAACAACTAATGTGTAATGTCTTATTTTGTCCATGGTCATTTTTAGAATATCAGAGGCATTGTGATCAAGTGAAGCCTGCATGCACATGTTACACGTAATGTAACTTTAACATATGTCGATCATCCATCTGCGAGGGTGCACGGGTGGCCCAGTCGTCTAAGGCGCCGCGATTCGCTGTGCAGAGTTGCGTCCCTTGGGCACGACAGAAACCTATGATTGTGGGTTCGAATCCCGGTTCACCCGATTATAGTTCTAGGTTTGTCAGCACCATACCCGTGCTCGTCGGTTTCACCGAAGTGGTAAACGTCTGAGACATGCATCACTTTGGGCTTTCCTCCCACATTAAGCTGACACACAGCGATATAACTGGATAACTGTTAAAAGCGGCGTTAAACCCAACTCACTCACTCGTCTGTCTGCGTCACGTGAAGATCAGCAGCAGCTGGGTGCACCACACACTGCCCATGTCACGGTCTTGTGCCGCTCTGCTCCCAGGCTTTATTTCCCACACTGCTCGGGGGGGTTATATGTACACTCAGATATTTATCATGTATTTATGATGATTGTTGCCTCATCAATAAGTGTTCATAGCTTGTTGTAACTCTGTAATTTTACAGTAAGATAGCTTTTGTTCAGCGCTTTATTGTGAAACTTACATCTTCAGTATGGATATGGTATTTAGTTTGCTATTCGTGTTTTCCCCAGTCCAGGGGAGATTGTCTCCTCGGACGTCCGCGCGCTGGATCTTTAGACTTTTTCTTGATCTCGTGTCTTCAATCTCCAGCTTTCGTTAAATCTTTGACCCCTGTCTGGCTACTGGAGTAGACATGTTGCGTCAGTAAGTGGTTTCGGGGCGCTATAGTCTGGTCGTACTGAACGTAGCTCAGTAGCTAGGGTTTGTTATACTCAGTTTTTCTAGCAATCCGTGGATAACAAACCTTCCCATGATTGTCTAGTAGTTAGTAACTAATGTTTCCAATACACCGTTTTTCTAGTAATCCGCGAATAACCAACCTTACCGTGATTGTCTGGCTATTTGGGAACTTTAGTATTTCATTGTTCAGTCAAAATACAGAATCTTTAGTCGTTTAGACTTATTTGATTTTCTGACGTACTCGTCTATTTTTGAGACTAAGCGACTTAGTTTAAGGATAAGCCCTTTGTGTTTATTTCCCGTTATTTAACCCAGCCGAGGTTATTCACTCACTTGTGTTTTAGTTCATGAGATCAGTTAATTGACTCAGGTGTTAATTGGTCGCAGTCGACTTAATTGGCTGTCTACGCATCTGGTCGGTATCCTGTCAAAGTGTTGTTTTAGCTACCCACATGTTTATTAGTGTTATAAAGTTACTTTTGCTCTGACGTAATTAATCAGTGAGCTATGTCAGCGTAGATTGGGTTTTTCTTATTTTCTATTATCATCTCTTGGTACAATTTGTGCTATTAATAAACCTGTGAACCTAATACCACGTTTCCTTAAGTACTTTATACCTGTTTAATGACACCCCTGATCACTGGAGCACACACCACACACAGTTGAGCAGTGATGCTTCTTTAACGTTAATACGGCGCAATCAAAACCACTTTCCTTGTGTCCAACTAACTATTTTATATAATAGGATAACGGATATCAGTACTCGCCCGTTGAAGATACCACTGTTTATAACAATAAGCTGGTATTACACAGTGTGTACCAGCAAAGCGTGTGCTCGTGTGCTACCAGAACTAGTTGCACTACTCTAAACATCCCCAAGTTTATTCAATGGTATTGCTTGTAGAGATCATAGATCGCTGAGAGGAGCTTATGGGTTATGCGTTTGTAAACTTTTAGTGCATGGCCCCGTTCCACAAAGTGATCGAAGCGCAACGGCAGTTGTAAGTCAATGTGAAGTATGGGAGTTGCGGTCACCTTAAAATGGTATCTTTGTGGAGCGGAGCCCTGATTTCTAAAGGTAGGCCGTTGTATGGTGTAAGATAAATACGTGTCAACTTTTAAGGTGTTTGAAGTATTATTCTCTTCATCTCAAATAGAGTATGCTGTGGATCGCGTATATGTCTGCATATATACAAACGACAGTGAACTTTTAAAAAGCTAAAAGAAACGGCAAGAAATAAATAACATTCTCGCCCCCGTTTAATACAAATGTTAAGAAATTCGTGAATAATCCAGGACTATTCGCGAGTTATCCAGTCATTATGTCAGAAAATAAAGTTGCTGATGTGTAAGTGTATTTAAAAAAGTTTAAACGAAATGACTTGATAATGTTTTCATATTTATCACATAAAATCTTATTATGCAAAAAATCTGGTAAATTGTCAATGTGTAAAATAAATGGAGTGCAATCATCGTAAATACTGTGCTGTATCGTCGAAAATATATTATTTGTATACGACATTCACAGACCGTTGCAAAATTATTGTCAAACCATGTGTATTCTTCAAAACAAATGGGGGAGTCATTTGACCCTGGGGAGTTATCTGAGCCTACGACGGGGGAGTCGTTTGGGCCTTAGGGGAGTCATCTGAGCCTAGGCTCAAATAACTCTAGAGTCGTCTGAGCCTGGGGAGTGATTTGAGCCTCCTACACCGGAAGCTTGTGTCGTAGTTTATACTCATAGTTTACATTCAGCTATGGGTCTCGTGCATTAGGAGTATCGCCTGCCTGAAACTTCGCTCAGACTGAACAAGTTACCTAATAGTTTTGGACGGACATAATCAACTGACATTTAAACATTTCAACCTACGAGTACATGGAATTATGAAAACAGTGAGTTGAGTACAGCGTGTGATGTTCGTAAATTGAATCAAACATATTACTATGTCTAACATAGTCTATGTGGGGAATACAAACAGTAAAATCATTACATACTGCGTGTACTGAATATGTCATGTCGATGAAATCAAATTCCGTACATCGTTCGACTAATATTTATGTATGTGTCACACAAATAACTTTTACATATACGTCATTTATAATACTTGTATTGTCTCATAAAGCATATAATTTGATATATCTAGTGTCTAGGGGCAAAATGAAGAAATCATTTAATTAAATTTCAGTAACAAGGTATAGCTGGCGTCAAGGCGGCTGTTGTTCCTGATGGAAATTGTACAGTCACTCAAATGAACAGATGTTAACAGGCAATAGTTACGGTAAGAAATTGATAGTCGCACTGAAAATGTCACAGCACTGAATCGGCCTCTCTCGCCAACATAAGAATAACTTGGCATCAGCTGTACATTTATATTAACAACCTCTAAATTAAAAACAATCGGTCTAATAGCAGGAGCTGCAACGAGGAGATTAGACATCAAAACACACTTTATAAGCAACTGACGTTTTCTACAGGTTAGGGTAAGTACGGTGTGCTGGTATGTATTTAGGTTTATAGGTTGTGTGGGTGATGATGATATGTATACGGGGGATACAAGATCATGTTATGTGTCTGCTGTAATGGTTGTATGTTACAAATGCACTTTATGTGACCTAACACCATTGGTAAGTGGTAACAATGCTTAATCGCGAATGTCAGCATGTTGCCATTTCAGTGCCAAAACCTATCGACAGTGATAATAACTTGGGGCATGCATAAAGATGAGTATATATAGATACAAGTTCTGTATGCATTTAGTGATTATAATATTAGAAAATATATAGTTTCACTCGAACCATATAACATTTCTGCCCAAGTTCGTTCAACCTGCCCATATGACACTATGATTTTCAGATCAGTAAGAAAATACATGATAATAAATAGTCACAGAACATTTTATCAAAGATACTTAAACCATCCTTCACATTGTGTGATGACTTTAAGAAGCTCTTCATCGTGTATCCTATACAAAATACATACATGCTTACATACATACGTACCCACTGATCAGAGGCAGTGATGTCTGATGGCAGCATGGTTATCATATAACAATTATTCATAGTCTGGCATTAGTGCTCACATTACTTCACTCTGTTCTCAACGGCTGCTGGACCATATAACAGCTCCCACACTTATTAAGTTTAGAATAAAGGAAATACTGAAAGTTTCAGGTAGACAAGCAATGTGTGAAATATCAATGGCGTTTATTGCAAAGAAAACGTATTACGACCTTTAAGATACATTTAATTAAGCAATCATAAGAGCCAAAAGAAAAATATTCAAATTTCTAATTATCTAAAACCAGTCGGTCTCAATATGCATGATAAAAGATAGCAAAGCGTCACAAAACCAAGACCATGAATACAGCTCCTTTACTCATCTCATTTACCAAAAGGTATAAGACGTTTTAAATCTTCTCTAAATGTTTGGTTCATGAAGGCGTAAATTACAGGATTAACTACATTGTAAGTAAAATACATGTAAAATACGACAAGGTTGAAGGGCAAGAGTCCATGTGCCATCAGCCAGGAAGGCAGGAAGGCGATGATGAACACCAACGTAACTACAAACAACATGGCTGCCGTTTTGATGTTGGCATAAACGTTTGTCTCGCGTAATGTGCTTTGTCGTTTAACGGACCCCTTGGAACCGGCCTGGGTTTGATTCTGTTGTGGAATATCATTTTTTTCAGCACTTGCATTGCCATTGATGGTTGTCATTTGTGTTTCCCCCGCAGCCCCTTCAGCTCCGGCTACACTGTGATAGTGACTCCTCTTCTTACGCTTGGCTTTTTTGGCTCGTCTCATAAGAATTGACTTGTAGATAAGAGTATAAAGTACTGCTACTGCTATGAACGATATTATGTACACAGCAGTATATACCTTTTGATAGCCTTTCGTGAATTCTTCGCTAACAATGAACTCGTTCATTCCACATTGTCCGGTGTAAACAACTCTAATTTCAGAAATCTCATATTGTGTAATGTTTTCATATTGTGTTGGCATGTCAGGTATAACGTACGTACCGGGTTCTCTAACCGGCGCTTCCTGGGCAGAATAGTGAATCACCTCGGTCTCCGTCAGGTTCAATGTTACATTTGCATATGCGGTCATGTTCATGTATTCATTTCCATACACACCAAATGACAGGGAGGTGAGTGTGCCGAACGTTATTGACATCAGTGCAAGACATCCAACAGTTATTTTAGCTCTTGCAATGGTAAATGCGTGTAAGAAAGGATGGCAGATACAGAAGTACCTGTCAAAGCCTATGGCTACCATAATACATGCAGAAAAGGGAATGTTTGATGTTTGGAAAAACATAAAGAGTTTACAGAAAACGTCGTACACCACAACAGATCGTAACATCTCAAATGCGATTGTGTATGGAATAATAACTAGACACGTGAAGAAGTCACATCCCGCCAGGGCAAGAATGAATATCACTGAGGTTGACTTATCTCGTCGACGAAAGAAAATGTAAAATGCGATAGCATTTCCGAATACCCCCACTACACTGTAGACGACCAGCATGACCGTCACGACGATGTACGATGGTTGGGGGAATGGATTGTCCTCCGTTGTGTTTGCGGTGTAAACGGACATATTATCCATGGAGCTGGACATCTCAGGCGGTTAATGAGCTCCTGCCCAGATGAAACGCCTTCTGAAATGAATTAGAAACATAGTGTTAGAAAAACTCCCGAGTTAACTGACGCACGGTGCTCTTTAATTTCCTTGATGATTAAACTGTTACACATCAAATTATTTAAATTGGATTTCGCTTAACTTCCTTTCTCTCATACAAGCCCACGACACACATCTACATCCACTGAAACCGCCTGGTCTATGGAAGAGAATGCTATCATGTTTTGTCCAAGAATCAGGACAAGTACTACGTGAACAACAGTGTAAAGTTAAACGGAGCAGAGTAAGACGAAATGTTTTAGTCTTAAGGCTGCATTGAACGTATTTTGATTTAGCCGCAAAATCGAGGCCAATGGAGTAATTGAGATGCACCGCTGTTTAAAACCTTTATAAAATACGAACTCTGAACTTACATGAACCAATTCGATTATTTTGCATACAACATCATGATAGGAATTCCAATTTCATATTAAGTTTGTGTCTCGTGTAGAATAATATGTACCTGTTTTAGCTTTAGCTTTCAGACATGGAAGGATAAAGTTATAAATCCTCCACCGAACTTTGACATACACTTTCGTTATATCTGATAAGTGATGCGAGTGAGCAATAACATTCCAAACTAAGGGTTAATAATTCCGGGGTTAATGACACATTTATGTGTCAGTAAATTGTGCATCAGATTGTGCAAGATTGTTTGCATATTGCAAATTTGCGTACTTTGTAATAACATGTAGATGGTTGACATCAGACAAACAGCAATATGTGCTTTCTTTCTGATATCAACACGTAAGAGAGTCAATGGTCATTTTGGTTCAAATATATAGGAACGTTTTTCACAAACTAATGACAGGACGTCCCTGTTGATACGAAATTGTCAACGGATACTCAACAAGATAAATTTATTTCATTGTTCCACATTATCTGCTTTTCTAAAAGGTTAAATTCAAAAGACGGGGGGGAACGGAAACGTACGAGTCAAACTCCGGTAGAAAAAACCCATGAACATTTACATAATGCTCGCGCAGGCGGTTTATGTAGCCAATTTTCAGTAATAGAAATGAAAAGCCAGGATTTTATGGACCGTCGAAAATTTAAACTAGATAGTATTTAGTCAACATTCAAATATCAGAATGGTGCAAAGGTTGCCTTTTCAAAATAAGGTGGTTCAGCAGTGGAATTAGCGATGTGAACGACTTTCTGACAGGAGAAGTAAAACAAATCTCACATGACTCTGAAGTGTGGTGTAGGTACACCCATGACCATAGTGAAGCCTGGAAGAAGGTACACGTGTTAAGGCGCAGAAGTGTCTCGCAAAGTCTGTCACAGAAGTATTCAGACCTCGTCAAACTGAAAAGACCCAAATGGGCAGACATCTGCAAACAACTACCTTACATTTGTGATGCATCAAAACGTGCCTTCTTTGAATCTCTCCCTCACGACGATGACAATGAGGAGAATCAGGATGAGGAACAAAACTGTTGTAATGACAGCGACAAGACGTTTTGAAAAGCAGAATAAAAAATGTGAATGTGCTGTGTATTTTGCAGTATTCAAGGATGCTCACAACGGAAGCACAATGTATTGCTGATGGAATATTAAGGTTCTGGAATTGCTTGTTATACTGTTCAGATATGTGTTAGTGTTGCACAAGTTTTGACAGATTTAATGATTTAATTAAAAGAGTGTTGAAGGTTTGTAGAGGCAGAGCAATAGACCTGAGTTCTTTGTATTCATTTTAATCAGGGAGTGCTCAACGCAGTAGCAAAAGTATCAATTTGAAGTTTGTGTTGGTTTTTGAATGTAATGAAGTTATGAGGGGTTAGACCTCAATTTGTCTGAATTCTAAGATTTTTCGTTGCAGAAATATGCAATGATACAGTTACGTTTTAATTTGTGGAGAATTGGACTAATCGTTTTAATTTTTAACATTGTGCTTGGGAAGTGTTAGTTGAATGTTTATAGTTACTGTTCATGCTATTGGGCATTGTGAAACGTTGTGAGAGTTACATGATAAAAAAAAGCAACATCAGGGAAATGATACTTTGGATATAACCTGTACAATGCAAGTGTTCATGTTGCACCCTCTTACAGTGTGTATTTAGCACAGAAAATTACCAATGAACATGTTGTTTTGAATTTGATAGTCTTGGTGAATGATTCCCTCTTGAATAAAGATGCTATTGTGTCTGAACCTGTATTTTTATCTTTCTGCTTACGATTGATCGGGTCTTAAGAAATTGATTTTTGGTGATGCCATATTGAATACTAGAATATCATGTAGACATTTTACATGAAAACTATTTCGTTTATCAAATATTATTTTCTCGTATAATTATGACAAATCTCAGGTAAAACAAGTTAAAATATAATTTCAAAAAGATTTCAGGATTTTCATGACTTTTGCATTTGAAAAATTCACTGACTTTGGCCGTCTTGCCTGTATTATTTTGCATATGATATTTTCAGTTTTCCACGACATAAACAAGTAAACCTACTATTCTCTGCCATGGTTATAATTGTTTCCCTTTTTGCTAAAAGTTAGCAGAAAGATTTTTTCATTTCCTCATGCAATTTAAAAAACAGTGTTCTTTGCCTCTCCTGTAAAGTTGCAAAAAGTGACTAAGGCTGGTTTGCTTTGCAGCCCGTCATGTAGAACCGACGTAAGAAGTCTGTCTCTGAGTAATAATTGTTGATCCTGACTTGTACAACAGAATGTCAGCATGATGCACCATTCATTTCTAATTGAAATAACAACTTTCAGACAATTTAATCTTATTGCCTCAAGATGTATATATGTACGCGCTGCAGTGCTGTAGATGCGCTGTTTGGTTCGAACGCTTTTTATATATGTCATGACTGATATCTTTGTGTTGTTTGGCGCGTAAGCCTCCTATATGGCAGTAGGTTAATAATTATTTGAAACACGAACAGATGCACACTCAGTTTATGCTACTTTATTACTGATGGTGCGGGACCAGGTCGTTAATCAAAATTAAATTTGATATGTAGAGATCATTGCGTTGTTTTCATTTACGCCTCCTTGCAATGCATGTGTGACTCTTAGCAACAGATTTTATCGAATTTATCGAAATTCCAATTAAGCAGTATATATGTGAAGACTTCCTTATGAGCTATCCCTTGTATGTATGTTGGTTTGAGTATCATTTTATGCTTGTGTGTAAACTCTATCGTTAATTAAGAAACAAGTATATTCCAAAGAGGTCTATAACTTACCCAAATATTAATTTGTTTTGCATACTCAAAACTCAACCTCAAATATTATTTTATTACAAAATATTGTATTGTACATGCATTGTTAGTTAGAAGAAACACCCATACCTTGCAAACGTTGAACTATGGGCCTATGGCCTTTCAGTTTGCAATGAATAAAACAATTTGAGTATATATATACGCTTGTCGACATACTTTAATCAGCAAAAAGTACATTTGAATTGTTCATATTGAAATATGAGCCCGTTCTTTGTGAGATTAAAGGAGAAAGTGCCATTGATGTACTATATGTGACCCGACAAAGCAAACGTGCATATCCCCAGGCCACTTTACTCACTATATCGATTACTTGCCGAAAAGTTGTCATATTTGATTCCATTCATGTTATATCTAAGTTTCAGTATCAGGTCATCGTGGAATAATACAACGTCCAGACGTCAGTTCCTCTCTTGTCTTAATTGAACTTGAAACAAAGCGCGTGAGGTTTCTAATGAATAATTATTTCCGTCCTGTCGTATGCAACGTGTTCTGCGGGGGCTTATTTCCGTCCTGTCGTATGCAACGTGTTCTGCGGGGGCTTTATTTCCGTCCTGTCGTATGCAACGTGTTCTGCGGGGGATTATTTCCGTCCTGTCGTATGCAACGTGTTCTGCGGGGGATTATTTCCGTCCTGTCGTATGCAACGTGTTCTGCGGGGGCTTATTTCCGTCCTGTCGTATGCAACGTGTTCTGCGGGGGCTTATTTAAATGGTATCCGTGCTTCCGTCCGTGCGTGCAACATGTCGTTTCCGGGGCAGATCTTGAAGACCGTACAATATTTCTCATACCAACTTTGGCACATAAATAGGTCTAATGGTGAAGTGGTGACTTTTGATAGTTTGGGAGTTTTAAAAAACATATTTGTCAGCAACTTTTACATCGACTGAAAATGACGGTATTGCTCGTTTCCGAATTAGATTTTGAAAACCGTTTAATATAGGTCTGGTGGTGAACTGGTGCCTTTTGGAAGTTTGTGATAACTGAAAAACATATATTTCGTGTTTTCATGGCCACACCATAGACGGCTGTGCTTATTTCCGAATCGGATCTTGAAAACCGTACAATATTTCTTCACCAAACGTGGCACATAGACAGGCCTGGTGGTTATCTGGTGAGTTTAGATAGTTTATGATATTTGAAACTATATTGTTTTTAGTTTCCAACAACTTTGACTTAGTCTGAATATAGCGGAAGTACTCGTTTCCGAAGCAGACATTGAAACAAATATTTCGTCACCAAACTTGGCACGTAGATAGACCATGTGGTGTACTAGTGTCGCTTGAAACCATAACATTTGACATACAATCAGTATGACTAGTTGGTGTATTCACAACAAGTATTTACCATTGCGAGGGATATTGACGATTTGTCCTCTTGTTTGTATGCAGACATCGTGTAACTCAATAATAAGCCCCATACTCGGCTTTTAGGTCAAATAGTATTCTCATATAATTATGATTTGAAACGCAATAAAGACTCCCTCTTTCGACAAAATATTTATGCTGACTAATGAACAACAAAAAGTACTCAAATTCATTACTAAACTGCTTATTTGAAAAACAACAACTAACCGTCTGTCAGTGAACAAGCAATCAGGTTGCACTTTGCAAACACAAATATGCCTCAGTACGCGCTTACTCTTATTGTTAATAATGTCTTATGTAAATCTGTTGATTGGCTGCGCGTCATTTGGATTTTATACTTCTAATTCCCCTATCTAAAAAGACATGAAAGCGCCTAATTGAAGTG